AAGTCGCTGAATGAACATAGATTAAATATGTCATCATTTTTGGATACAATATCAAATTATATCACAAATCAATAAGAGCGCATGTGCGCGAGTTTGATTCCGGCCGGCACACTGAATTTTTGTCATGACGGTCGCGATTTCAATGAGTTCTCGAAGAGCTAACCAGGTCTGATGTTATCCTCTAGAATCTCTACAAACTGATCACGATCCGTGCGGGAATGTTCATGAAAAAAGCCGAGCGCATGCATTAGTTCATGCGCTATGATACCCTTCGTAAAGCATTTCCCAACCTCCAATGATACTGTCTGATTACCGCCAGAACGACCCACATATGACGAACATCTGAAACGTTTGCAATGATGAATCATGGCTTTGACTTGGATAATGGATTGGTGATAACCTCGGCGTTTCATAAGTTTTAGATGCAACAACGATATTGGAGGAAGGGGTAGTGGCAGTCACATCTTTAACGATAACAACAACTCACCCTGAAGCGAAATTGGTTTTGATATAGATGAAGTCGAAATCGTATGCTGTTTTTGGCACGAATCGAATGCAAGTTTTCTGTTTGTATTCATCGAAGGCCTGTGCTATGGCTGCACGTTCACTGCAAATGGAAGGGAACATTGAAAAAGTGGAAATTCTTCAGTTTCCTGGGCCTATTTGCAAAAAGTTTGTGAACACCTATCAAGTTTCCAGCTTGCTGATTCAAAAAAGAGAAACAGTAATGATAATACTGCATACTCTTTTGACATCGTTTCTTCGATTTCGTAAGGAATTATGCCTTCGGGCCATATCTTCTCGGGGTATGTGGCCAAATTTAGTGCACTGTGGAACTAAAAATGAACAGTTGTGGCGATTGTGACAAATAATAATAATAAATAGTGAATTAATGAACTGCTAATGAGGTTTAGACTTCATTTAACCAATAGTAGCACACTAATAAGCTTATAATCAAACGTTAAAAGGACTAAATTACATCCCAGATTATGAGCTTTTACTCAAGAGCGACGAAAATTCCGACGTAAAGCACTGAATTTAACTTTGCTGGAAGGGATTTTGCATATTTTTACAATTTGCAACTTCTGATTCTCTCTCCATCAATGAAAGAGAAAAAGTGTGCGTATGCGAGAAGAAACCGTGGTGAAGGAATTAAAAAATCATGCATTATTGTTGGAAAAGGATGAAAATTTTCTGAACATTTGACTGGAGAATGAGAGTGGTGAGAACACCATGAAAAAGCAAGAGAATTCAGCTGGGAATGTTAATATAACTTCTGAGGATACGACGATTCCCTAGGAAACCCACTAATCTATACTTTAACATATCTCAGTAACCCGTATAACACTTAAATGTGTGAAAGCAACAGAATATTTCTAAGGTGCAATGGAATTTATTAGTCGCAATAATCTCTATTCGTTAAATATGCGTTTTGAATTAAGGTCAATATTTTGAAGCTACCAGTACAGCTACTGAGATCTTAAGCGATTAGAATGATTTTTTTTGTAAATATCATCTTATCGAGCATATCTTATGGATTTCAATAATTGCCCGTAAAAAATCAGAAGTGATGAATAGAACGAACCGGTAACCGAAAAATATCACCATAGTAAGAATCATCATATTGATCGTGCATGAAGGCCATCTGGGGATCGTCTATTCCCTCAATATCACCCTCAAACAAACCGTAATTTTGGATAGCCTCAATCTCTCGATCTGTTGGTTTTTTTACTGCAACATTCAAAAGCTTCATCATTATTGCCCATTATTTTAAAGGAAAATCAGCACAATAGTTGCCGTGATAGCAATAGCAATAAATTCCATTTGTAACATATCAATTGAAATTGACATCAGCACGCTTCGAGGTGAGAAAATCGTTTAGGTGAGCATCAAGTAATCCTGTTCTTAATGATCATTGACAATTGGTGAATTGGTCAATCAGACTCAGTTGTTAATGTCGATAAGAAAATCAAGTGAGCATCACAACATCAAAACCTGGTGTTTCCTGTGCACGAATGAAGTCATCAGGTGTTAAAAATTTCCGCCAACTACCTGAAAAGAGTCATCGATATTTCTGGTCACTGATTTAAGCTCTGTAACTACTGAGGCTATTATATTATTATTTAAGAGGGTTTAGCCAATTCACTAGCGCAAAACTGTATGAATGGAAGCTTCAAATTAATTTGTGAAAACTCACCATCGACACTTCGAACTGTCCTCTGAGCATATATTAAATCAGAATCAGTAATCAAGGCTAGTAAAGTAATAATTATTAGTGCATCACTGAAATGTTGATGCATTCGGAATATGGCTGTGGTTTGCGATTGCATCAGTTCTATGATGACTGTTATCATTTCACATGAATTGTGCAACTTTAAAACTTGAAAACTTCAAGATTCTGGAGCCGTCGTGTGTTATCTTGATGACAGTAAGAGATTAGGTTCAATAGTCACCGGATTGTAGACAGTGAGGAGATGTCAAATTAGAGAGAAGGAATACTCAGTTGGTCAATTGAGTGACGAGTGACCGCAGCCAGCCAGCTGAAAGTAAACTGAACTGATCTTATTCTTACAGACAATATATGACCTTGGTGGTTATAATATTGCTATCAATATGGTAATAACAATGAAAATATCAACAATGGGTATATTATTAACGACAACACCAATACTAACGGTGAATTAAGAAAGTGCTTTGTTGAAATTCAATCTGGCTGAACAAATAGTAAATATTCAGTTGAAAACTGAATATTTAGTGTTTATTGGAAGAGGACCATCAACTATATAAACATCTGAATGTGCACCTACAGGTACACCTTTGTGTCAATGAATAGTACTGGGCAACAGTCACCAAAACATTGACCAATAGTGATAAATGTTGATGATCAGTAGTATTACTAAGAACAGTTATGGAAACGGTTGGCTTCAGACGAAATTCAACCAAATTCTCGTGTTCGTTTGGAGTTGAAGAGACTTTTGAGGGAACACACCAACTGCACCTATATACTCGTTTATATTTCACTTATATTATGAGGGTGACCACGAGTGGTCGCTAGCAACTGTAATGACCAATAAAAGAGTAATATATACGGGTTGATGAGCAAGTGACCAATACGAAGAGAATTACTATTGCGCCAATAACGATATAACAAACAGTTTGTTATTATAAATAACGGTCAATGACCACTACTACTGCACTGGCCTCTCTCAAAATATTCTCATTTAAATTCAGATTTTCTCTCATTTTTTTCACTCACTCAAACTCAAGTGACTAGACCGACAACAAACAGTCGATCAGTTTTATTTGATGTTTGTGAAGGTACATCTTGGAAGTCTTAAGTCTCTATTGATGTCATTATTTCTAACTCCTTTCAATGCCAAAAGCGCTCTCTCTTCTCTGCCTTCGTCTTGAGCTAATGGCCACTCTGAGCTCCTAAGATGACTAAGTGACCAAATGACCACAAAAAACATCAACAATTCGTATTTTCTTACACATTCCCAAGAATGATAGCCGACTATTCAATATAGTTTGTCCGAAACCTTTCCAGTCCTTTTAAGCTTAATCTAGTCCAGTGAGTTTCTTCTGTTGTCATGTGGTCAAACTGATCACTTTGTCAATCAATCACTTAATTAGATCACTTCTAAGCTCACAAAGCTTCAGTCTCAATACTCCTCTTGAACATTAACAGACCAAAAACGATATTAAACAAGAGTAAACATTGCACTGACTCGACGCAATGAATAGCGACTGATCTATAATTCATACTTTGATAACTAACCCATATGAACCTAATTTCAACAATGTTTCGATAATCAAGTTTTGATATCCGTCATTCTCTCCACCAAGCTGCACGACCATTCTCTACCTGGCACTGATCTATTCGAACTGATTTGCGATATCGAGCCATATTTTGAGATAATCATACTTAAACCTAGGATAAGAGTTTGCGAATTTAAACCAACTGAAACACCGATATTTGCATACTGAATGAATACGAGCAATTGATGCGTTTGCATGTGATTGTTCTATCATTGAAATGAGACTGAGTGGTAACATTTTGTTGATGTTAGTGGATATTCATCATTATTATTCATAAAGCTCCCTTATCCTCAGTGGCAGATTAGGCGGATTTGATACGTAATGACAGTAAACTGATCTGATCAATATATCAATTCACCTTTATTTCTATGACGTTTATTGCACAACACTCAGCATTTTACTACAATGATATAATGCGATAATGTTATCCATTGCTTTCATCTCATCTATTTTTTATTTCGATTTTTGTTGAACAAATACAAAAATCGGTGTATTTACTGTTATCATTACCACTGTCATGAGCATGATGGTTATCATCACTATTATTGTGACCATCATTATCAACGCCATTACTATTATTATTGCCGCCAGATCATTTATTATTTGTTTACGAATGAATTCATCTTGTCATTGCTGTTCTCATGTGTTTGTAAATGCAGCTAATATTTACTTAACGAGTCATTGAACAGACTAAACAGATAGTAAGATTTTTGTTGCAATGAAAAAGTTTCGAATCAATTGCTTTCGTTTTATCGAGAAATTTGTTTATTGAAGATTTTTTTAAAAATTATACAATCGGCGATTTGTTTTTTGCCTTTGCATTCAAGTGAAATACGAATTAAAAGAAACAACAGAAAAACACATCATCAAAGGTATTCCTGAACAATCATATTGTATCATTATTGGAGTAAGTTGAAGAAATTATGAATTTTTCGGTCAAAGAAGCAACATTTGTAGGGGCGTGCGATAGTTACCAATTAAACACTGGCATTGTAGCATCGAGTGAAGAACAATACGGTAACACACAAACAGGGATACGGTGTACAGTAGTCAACAGATAAACACTGAGATCAAGTATGTCTCAGTGGAGGTGCTACCAGAATGATAGCATCCCCCCTGACGAACAGCATCGGTATTTGTCGTTTTGTTTGTGAAATTTAATCATTAAAATATCATTATTGCTTTTATACCGTTGTCACTGTTTCTTCAACTTGTGACAGAACCATATTCAAGTGCTGGTCGAACGCGTGAAGACGGCCACGCACCTTAACTCAATTTTCATTCAAATATTCTGCAGATATTTCAATTTGAATTCGATCTGTTCAGAATTATTAACTTAAACTGCATTCAACCTTCTAACAATAAGAAACAATTCAACAATGAACAATGTAAATAACATTTCATCGTGCACTTGAACTCAAAAATAAACGAATTAATGAATGATCAATAATGAAAATCGTGAACTCTGATGAAACTCACACGGATTCAACAATAATGCAAACGAAATTTTGCTTGGTTGACTACAGAGTACATAAATAAATATTGATATAATTCATACTCATCAAATATTATTCAAACTCAAAAACTAGTCATACAAAATGAATCTCATCGAATGCATCAATAATGAAACAAACAATTCAAACCAAACCAATAAAATCAAACGATTAATGAATAATATACTTAAATGAATATACTTTAAGTATTCATACTTAAAGCAGAAATCAAGTCGATAGATTTATCCAACGTAAACCTTTCAAAGTCTCTCGCTGATAACAGCAATAACAAAAGTAACACTACTCATAACAATAACAAAAATAATGAAAACCACTGATCTGAGATAATCCACTAACCTCACGATCATTACGCATTTTCACATAAATACGCTCGTCAAGACTCAGTCTTATCAAGTCCAACGGTTCTTCTACACTCGATGTGATCACCTTAACGATCATTAACAATATGTAGATCAGTTGATATCAATAATTATCACTAATAAGATATCATTCTCATCATTCTTATCGTATCATCTTGAGTGAGCGAACGAACCGTTGCAGGTGCTTGCTGCTGCACTTGTTGGGTTTGTTGTTGCTGTGGTTCACCGCTTGCCATTTTTGATTTTTTCGCTCTTTATTTGAAGGTCTTCGTGGTGCAACACAGGCTAATTGAGTAGCGATTTCTCGAAATCAAGAAAACACCTTAAGATTTCATCAGTAGAGATCTTCCCTCTCAAACGAATAAAAGTATTCTTAAGCGACTTCTTATCGGTCAACTTCCTGGCCAATGAAAGGCCATAAGAACATGATAATAGTATATTAGTAGTAGTTCAATAAACTACGAATGAAACGTCCCAAATCGTTCAGAGAAATGGATTTTCAAATAAAATGACGCAATAATAAATGTCATCATTGCATACGATGCTTTATTGAGGAAATTCATTTGCTCGATGAATACAAGAAAAGCAATATTAAAGTCAATAAATTACTGAATATGCACCATATTATTACCATTCGAAGAAACAACCACAACGGATGGAAGGAATGTCACATATTCATTACACAATAAATAAAATTGAAATGTTACATTAATTGAAAATAAAACGAACAAAACACAATTTGAAGATGTTAATTTACTCAATGGATTGACAATAAAGCGATAACAATAAGCTTAATGACGATGAAATAATCGTTTTGAACAGCGACGATAACCAAAAAGATAGCCGAATAATAATGACAATGACAATGATAACTGAATAATGTTAATAACGATAATGATAACTGAATGGCGAGGATACTACAACAACAAAACGATGACAATAACTATAACGAAGACAATTCAAGAGCCATCCTGCATCGATTTCACTCTCTTACAAGCAATAAAATGACAATTTGTTTCAGGACAAAGAAATCCCACTGGCCCGACTTCGCAATCGGCACAAACCAAATATTTTATGCCATCACTGGCGTCGTGAGTAAAACCAATATTCTCGAAATCGTATGCTTTTTTAACGGACCACCTGAAATTATTGACGACCGATAAGATAAGGATAATAACGAAATATCGATAATGATATGAGAACACTGATAATCATACGAGCGTAATAGCAATTAACAACAACGAAAATTGTACAAACCATTCAGAAAGAGTTTCCTTTTCCACCTCTTTTATATTTTTCTTCTGCCTACACAACGGTAAATTGAATGGCTTGTNTCCAATTTGGAGGAATTATGCTGAATGATACTAATGATATAATAATACAACACTGACTGGCGATTAGCAGGCAGTACTGCTCATAATAACAAAATAAACATATGAACCTGTGACTTGCGTTCGTTCTGCTCGAGCATCTGCTCATCACTTTGACATGGGACTTGCTGTGCCATTCTTGAACGACGCAATAAGACTATCCTTTGCCGCGATTTGCTTCTTTAGCGATCGGATTTTTTCACGTTGAATCTCTTCGTTACTGATGCAAAACATTATCATTATAAACACTATTACAACTAAATTCTGATATTCTTGATAAAAAGAAATAACAAGTAATAAGGATTCACAGTTATTATCATCACTAGAATACCTGGAAATATCACTGATGGAATCTATGGACTCGCGAAGTTGCTCAATCGAATTTTCCACCTGACGTAATCTTAGTGCAACATCAGAGCTTGTACCCTTTTCCACACTCAAAAAAATATCACCAATAATAGTAACAGTAATAATCTTAATCACAATAGTACCGTAATAATAAACAACAAAGTAATAATAGCAATTAAAACTGACGATGAAATGAAATTGACCAGCGAGTTATAGACAGTATTAACGTTCTTTATTGCGCATGAGCCGTCATCTGCAGAGCTCATAACAGCCGAACAGCGAACAGACTGAATGCAGAATTTGTTTGAATCTTTTATTAATTATAATAACAAACAATAACGATAAATAGAA